AAGAGATTAAACCAAGAGAAAGAAAATGATTGGCTTAGGTTCATCTCGTATATGTGTATGTGTGTATGGGACCACTACGGTATTATGGATCAGTGGCCCCTATGTCAGGTGTCCAATCTGTGCTATCTGGGAGCATGAGAGAATTATCATGTGGTATCAAATGTGGTGCTTAAGTAGCTGGGGCTGGGTATTCAGATGCTGTCTGGCACAGTATAAGGGTAAATAGTGTGGGCGGTGCCTGGGTTTGCATGGTAGCTCTGTCACCCACCACATGTTTTATGATCTTGGGCAAGTTAATCTCAATCTCGGTTGTATTGTCTATAAAACGGAGATAGTAATCCAAGTCTACCTCATAGGGTTGGCATGAGGAATAAATGAGTACATATCTGGCATATACTCAGTGCTCAATACATTTTTTTAAATTTTTTTATTATTATGTTAATCACCATTACATCATTAGTTTTGGATGTAGTGTTCCATGATTCATTGTTTGTGCATAACACCCAGTGCTCCACACAGAACGTGCCCTCTTTAATACTCATCACCAGGCTAACCCATCCCCCCACCCCCCTCCCCTCTAGAACCCTCAGTTTGTTTTTCAGAGTCCATCGTCTCTCATGGTTGGTCTCCCCCTCCAATTTCCCCCCCTTCAGTGCTCAATACATTTTAACTATTGGGGCTTAAATTTACCATTTAATTTTTTATTTCCTGTTTTTTCTCCTGTTTCTTTGTTTCCCTGTTTTATTCTGCTTTCCGATGAGTTTGAACATTTTTTAAAATTCAGTTTTGACTTATTTATAACTTAGTGTATCTCTTTATATATTATTGTTTGCTCTAGGTATTATACTTATCACAGGCTACGAGGGTTTCCATTTCACAAGTTCAAACTATTATTGAACCTAATAAGCACATGACTTTTCCCATTGTGTGATTCCAGAGATGCCCTCAATTAACATGATTCATATGTCACTTATGGCTGAGTAATATTCGTGTGTGTGTGTGTGTGTGTGTGTGTGTGTGTGTGTGTATACACACCACGTCTTTATCCATTCATCTATCAAGGGGCACTTGGGCTGCTTCCGTAATGTGGCTATTTTAAATAATGCAATAAACACAGGGATGCATATATCCTTCAAATTACTGTTTTCATATTCTTTGGGTAAATATCCAGTAGTGTGATTACGGGATCAGATGGTACTTATATTTTTAATATTTTTGAGGAATATCTATACTGTTGTCCACAGTGACTGCACTAGTTTGCATTCCCACAGACAGCACACAGTGGTTTCTGTTCTCCACATCCTCATCAACACTTGTTTCTTGTGTTTTTCATGTTAGCCATTCTGACAGGTGTGAGATGGTATCTTATTTTGGTTTTTGCATTTCCCTGATAAGTGATGTTCAGCATCTTTTCATGTGTATCTTAGCCATCTGTATGTCTTCCTTGGAGAAATGTCTGCTCATGTCTTCTGCCCATTTTTTAATTGGATATTTGTTTTTTGCTGTTGTATAAGTTCTTTATATATTTTGGAAACTAACCCTTTATCAGGTAAGTTCTTTGTAAATCTCCTCCCACTCAGTAGGCTGTCTTCTAGTTTTGGTGGTGGTTTCCTTCACTGTGTAGAAGCTTTTTTATATAGATGTAGTCCCAATAGTTTATTTTTGCTTCTGTTTCCCTTGCTTCAGGAGACCTATCTAAGAAGATGTTGCTACAACCCATGTCAGAGAAATCACTGCCTGTACTCTCTTCTAGGATTTTTATGGTTTCAGGTCTCACATTTAGCTCTTTAATCCACTTTGAGTTTATTTTTGTGTATGGTATACAAAAGTGGTGCAGTTTCATTCTTTTGCACGTAGCTGTCCAGTTTTCCCAACACCATTTGTTGAAGAGACTTTGTATTGTATATTCTTGTATAATCTTGTATACATTGTATATTCTTGTATAATCTTCAACATATTCATGTTGAAGATTAATTGACCATACAATCGTGGGTTTATTTCTAGGCTTTCTATTTTGTCCCATTGATCTCTGGATCTCTGTGTCTGTTTTTGTGCCAGTACCATACTGTTTTGATTGCTACAGCTTTGTAGTGTATCTTGAAATCTGTAATTGATACCTCCAGCTTTGTTTTTCTTTTTCAAGATTGCTTTGGCTATTTGGGGTCTTCTGTGGTTCCATACACATTTTAGGATTGTTTGTTCTGGTTCTGTGAAAAATGCTGTTGGTATTTGGATAGGGATTGCATTGGATCTGTAGATTGCTTTGGGTAGTATGGACATTTTAACAATATTTGTTCTTCCAATCCGTGAGCATGGGATGTCTTTCCATTTGTGTCATGTTCAGTTTCTTTCATCAGTGTTTTAAAGTTTTCAGAGGACAGGTCTTTCATCTCATTGGTTGAGTTTATTCCTAGATGTTTTATTATTTTTGGTTGCAATTGTAAATGGGATTGTTAATTTCTTCTGCTTCATTATTAGGGTATAGAAATGTAATGGATTTCTGTATGTTGATTTCATATTCCGAGACTTTAACTGAATTCATTTATCAGTTCTAGTAGTTTTCTGGTGGAGTCTTTTGGTTGAATATATAGTATCATGTCATCTGCACATAGTGAAAGGTTAATTACTTCTTTGCCCATTTGGATGCCTTTGATTCCTTCTTCTTGTGTGATTGCTGTGTCTGGGACTTCCAGGACTATGTTAAGGTGGTGAGAGTGGACATCCTTGTCTCATTCCTGATCTTAGGAGAAAAGCTCTTAGTTTTTCCCTGTTGAGTATGGTATTGGTTGTGGGTTTTTCATACATGGCCTTTATTGTGTTGAGGTATGTTTGCTCTAAAGCTACTTTGTTGAGCGTTTTTATCATGAATGGATGTTGTACTTTGTCAAATGCTTTTTCTGTATCCATTGAAATGATCATATGATCCTTCCTCTTATTGATGTGATGTATCACATTGATTGGTTTGCAAATACTGAACCACCCTTGCATCCTGAAAATCCCACTTGATCATGGTGAATGATTTTTTTTTTTTAAGTATTATTGTATTCACTTGGCTAATATTGTGTTGAGGATTTTTGCATCTATATTCATCAGAAATAGTGGCTTGTTTTCTTTTTTTGTGGTGTCTTTAAATGGTTTTGGTATCTGAGTAATGCTAGCCTCATAGAATGAATTTGGAAGCTCTCCTTCCTCTTCTATTTTTTGGAATAGTTTGAGAAGTTGTTCAGTAGAACTCACCTGTGAAGCCATCTGGTTCTGGACTTCTGTTAAGAGGTTTTTTTGTTTGTTTTTAAAGACTATTTATTTGAGAGAGAGAGCACGAGCAGGGTGAGGGGCAGAGGGAGAAGCAGACTCCCTGCTGAGCAGAGAGCCCAAAGTGGGGCTCAATCCCAGGACTCTGGGATCGTGACCTGCGCTGAAGGCAGACCCTTAACCGACTGAGCCACCCAGGTGCCCCTAGGAGGTCTTTGATTACTGATCCAATTTCATTGCTGGTAATCTGTTCAAATTTTCTATTTCTTCCTGCCTCAGTTTTGTTACTTTATATATTTCTAGGAGTTTATCCATTTCTTCTAGGTTGTCCAATTTGTTGGCATATAATTTTTCATAATCTCTTATAATCACTTATATTTCTGTGTTGTCAGTTATTTCTCCTCTTTCAATTCTGATTTTGAGTCCTCGCTCTCTTTCATTTGATAAGTGTAGCTAGAGGTTCACCAATTTTGGAGAACTAGCTCTGAAGGAAACTGTTTCCTTTGTTCCTTTGCTCTAAACCTAAAACTAGCTCATTGATCTATTGTATTATTTTTTTAGTTTCTATATTGTTTATTTCTGCTCTAATCTTATTTCTTTTCTTCTGTTGTTTTCATGTTTTGTTCTTTTTCTATCTCCTTTAGGTGTAAGTTTAGGTTGTTTGAGATTTTTCTTCTTAAGGTAGGCCTATATTATAAACTTCCCTCTTAGGATTGCTTTTGCTGCATCCCAAAGATTTTGGACTGTTGTGTTTTCATCTTCATTTCTCTCTCTCCCTCTCAACCTCCCCCCTCTAATAATATATATTATTTTTTCCTTTTTTAAGTAAGCTGTGTGCCCATCATGGTGCTTGAAATCCCAACCCTGAGATCAAGAGTCACATGCTTTACTGACTGAGCCAGCCAGGCATCCCATGTCTCCATATATATATATATTTTTTTTTTGAGTTTCTCTTTGATTTCTTGGTTGACCATTCATTGTTTAGTAGCATGTTATTTAACCTCCATTTACTTGTGCTCTTTACAGGCTTTTCCTTGTGGTTGATTTCTAGTCTCATAGCACTGTGGTCAGAAAAGATGCATGGTATGAATTTGATCTTTTTGAATTTGTTGAGACTTGTTTTCTGGCCTAATATGTGATCTCTTCTAGAGAATGTTCCATGTACACTGGAAAAGAATGTGTAGTCTGCTGTTTTAGTGTGGAATATTTTGGATATATCTGTTAAATCTCATGTGTCGTTCAAAGCCACTGTTTCCTTGTTGATTTTTCTGTTTGGTTGATATGTCCATTGATGCTAGTAGGGTGTTAAAGTCCCCTACTATTATTGTATTACTATTGATTAGTTCTTTTATGTTTATTAATTGCTTTATGTATCTGGATGGTCCTGTGTTGGGTGCATATTTACAATTGTTATATATTTTTATACCCTTTATGATTATATAGTGCCTTGTTTGTCTTATTACAGTCTTTGTTTTAAAATCTGTCCTGTCTGATATAAGTATAGCTATCCTGGCTTTTTTCTTACATCCATTTGCATGATTAATGCTTTTCCATTGCTTCATTTTCAATTTCCATGTGTCTTTAGATCTGAAATGAGTCTCTTGTAGGCTGCAGATAGGGGAGTCTTTTGGAGCACTTAGTCCATTTGCATTAAAGGTAATTATTGATAGGTATGTACTTCCATTTTGTTACTTGTTTTAATTTTTTTTTGTATGTGAGGTCTTTTTTTTTTTTTTTTTTCCCTAGGCAAAGAACTTTATTAACCTTGTTTCAAACTTTATTCCCAGGCTTCTTCAGCTTAATTAGCTGCAAAGAATGAACTGTGTATAAGCAAAAACTGAAAAGAGCTGCAGTGTCCAAGGGGCTTGGGCTTAAAAATATTAGAGATCTAGATTTTATCAGATCCATGAACAAAATTTTAAAAAGCAGTCATAATATAAAATAGCAGCTCCCAGGAACTTCAAGTTTTATCTTCTTCAGAAGTTGACTCAATTCAGTTTGCTTCATTCTTGGAAGCTTCATCAAAATTCTCCACAAGATCTGGAACTTCATCATCATCACCCTCTCCGGTAGCAAGTGGTGCTTCTCCATCCGCAGATTGTTTGGGCAGAGCTTCAGCCAGTCTTCTTAAACTAGTCAGACTGTCTGCACCAAGTTGGTTTAAGATACTGGGTAGCATTTCTGTCAGCTGCTTTGTCTCAGCATGGCCTGTAATGGTGAAAGTGTTCCCTGCCAGCGATGCCTGAACTTTAGGGTTGTTAAAGTGGAGCACTGTTCCTTGGTTTGTGAACATATTCACTTCTTCAGTATCAGAGATATTGCTTACCCCTAACTTCTTTAACGAGAACTGAAGTTTTTTATCATCTGCTGTAGCCGTTCTGTGAACCACCTTCTTTCGGCGAGCGGTTCCTTTCCCACCAATGTGCACTTGTGCTTGCAGTTTGGCGAGTTTCTCCTGGTTCATGATAGTTTCTTTCATCTTGTTGGAGCTGAATTGGGACCGCTCGGGGGTCTCAGGCGGACCGGCTGAGATTAGGTGCACACACGCTGGGACGCAAGATGGCAGCTAGAGGATGTGAGGTCTTTCTTAAACTTTGTTTTCACCCTAATAATTATATAATTCTGACTAGAGACCAGTGTTTTACTTTAACTTCTGATACCTGTTTGTTTCTTGGAATCATGGTTTTTAATTTTAGTTTGTAGTTTTCAGTTTTAAAAATATTTCTACAGACTTATATACTATTATGAATGTAGTTCATTGGCTTATTTTTGAGGACACTAATGATATTCTTTCTTTAATGACAGCACTCTAAATCTCTTTATTAATTCTATTTTACAATCTATCACAGCTTTCTTATTCTTTCTCTGAATTCCTAAAAAAATTTTACATCCAGTTTTATGCTCACCCTTCCCTCTAATCCCACTTGAACCATATTAAGTTAGCCCCTCATGATTTCTTGTCCCAATGGCTGGAATAGATTCCTGGTTTTCTAACATCCAGCTTATTTGCCCCCCTTCCTATACATTCTTCATCCTACTGCCAGAGTGCTTTTTCTAAAATGCAAATTTTATGATATTGTTCCTTTGCTCTAAACCCCATTGTCTTCAGGATACAACCCAAACTTAGGCCTTTCATCAAATTCTAGTCCAAGAGGCTCCTGTGATGTCTTTGGTTGCCATTAAGTCACCCCTGTCACACCTGTCGGTGCCTCTTCTTCACAAATTTGCGTGTCATCCTTGCGCAGGGGCCATGCTAATCTTCTCTGTATCGTTCCAATTTTAGTAAATGTGCTGCCGAAGCGAGCACTGTCGGTGCCTCTTCTACTCCATTGCCTGGTGGTCCCAATCAGCAAGGTCCTTGCTGTTGCAACTTATATCACCCTATCATCCCCTCAATCACTGATGCAGGTGTTTGGTGACATTTTAAGTGCAGATGTTGGTCCTTCTGAAACAGCAAAAGCCTTCCTCCAATTTTTGCAATTCTTTCATTAAATTGTAAAGGGAGTAGGCCATTCTGAGTTACAAACTGGGAGAAACAAGTTTCACCAGGACCATTTGGAGACTATTAGAGTAGAATCTTTGTGTCCTGTTCCAAAACATCTGTTTGTACCAAAACTCCATCAGTGTTCCAGAAGATACCTAACTTAGCCTGAGTGCTCTATTAGTTATTTCCTTTCACACTGGATGATGTTCACCTAAGAGCTAGGGATGCCATTTCTCCCATTGCTGGATCTCTGTATACCTGGGTCAGATTGACAATTCTGAGTGTTTTCATTTCTTTTTGATGGCCCAGAAAATGAGTATATGTTTGTGGGTATAGAGATTATGTGCCACTGATAGTAAAATTTATTTTTATTTTTGGTTTTAAAAACTGCAATTTTTAAACACTGTTAGAGCAGAAGGGAGCTGTGAAGTATGACATTAAGGAGTATTTATAATTCTGTCATATTTACAAAGGTAATTTCTTCTCTCTGGACATCTGGGAGAGGATGGGGTGGAAATCTGGTTCTCCTCCTCATTCCCACCACCTTTTACTTGACCACATGAGTCCTCACAGAATCAGGACTTCTGGTGTACTAGTTTTTTGTTCTTGTTCTATTGTGTATTGTAAAATATACACAAAATGTACCATTTGAGCTATTTAGTGTACATATAATTCAGTGGCATTAAATGCATTCGGTGTGGTGTAGCTATCACCACTGTCCTTTTCCAGAACTTTTCATCATCCCAAACATAAACTCTGTACCCAATAAATAATAATTTCCCATCCCCTACTCCCACCCCAGCCCCAGCAACCTCTCTTCTACTTTCTCTATGAATTTGACTCTTCTAGGTACTTCATACAAACGGAATCCTATAACATTTGTCCTTTTGTGTCGGGCTTATTTCATATCACTTCCAGGGTTCATTCATATAGTATCAGAATTTCATTGCTTTTAAGGCTGAATAAACCGTTACCCAATATGATAATAGATCATTTGAATACCCTATGACTATTAATGAAATGGAATGTGTAATTTTAAAACTCCTCATAAAAGATATATCCAAGCCCAAAGGAGATTCTACCGAACATTTAAAGAATTAAGACAAACAAGCTTAATTAAGACAGTTTGGGACAAAATATTTACAAACTGCATATCTGAGAAAGGACTAGTATCTGAAAGCTATAAGGAATTCTCAACATTCAGCAGTAAAACAAGCAATCCAACTTGAATGTCCACAAAACTCATGGAGACATTTCACTGAAAAAATTTATAAGCACATGAAATGTTTGATATCCTTAGTTATTACGGAAATGCAAATTAAAACCACATTGAGATTATCACTGTACATCTATCAGAATGGTTAAAATTAAAAAAAACAAAACAGTGATACCACCAAATGATGGTGAGGATGGAGAGAAACTTGGATCACTCATATATTGCCAGAGGGAATATAAAGTGACACAGCCAGTCTGGAAAACAATTTGGCAGTTTCTTAAGAAACAAAACATGCAAATACCATATGTCCCAGCATTTGCAGTCCTGGGCATGTATTCCAGAGAAATGAAAACTTGTGTTCATATAAAAACTACATAAATTTTCATAGCAACTTTATTCATAATAGTGAAAAACTGGGGGGAAAAATTTACATGTCTTTCAATGGCTGAATGGTTAAACTATGGTATATCCATACTTTGGAATACTAATTATTAAAAAGAAGTCACTGATACATACAACCTGCATGAATTATGAGAATTACACTGAGTGGAAAAAGCCAATCCCAAAAGATTACTTGTGGAATTATTCCATTTATATATATGTAAATTTTTTTTTTTTAAGCAACCTCTACCCTCAACGTGGGGCTCAAACTCGACCTCAAGACCAAGAGTCACATGCTCTACTGACTGAACTAGCCAGGCATTCTAATTTATATACATTCTTGAAGCGACAAAACTATAGAAATAGAGAACATATTAGTGCTTGCCAGGGATTGAGAGGATGAGGGTTGAGGGAAATAAGCATGGCTATAAAAAGGCAACATGAGGATTCCTTGTGATAGAAATGTTCTGAATCTTGATTTTACCCTGGTGATTATGTTGTACCATGGTTTTGCAAGAAGTTACCATGGCAGGGAGGGGACTGGGTAATGTGTACATGGGGTCTCTTATTTTTTACAACTGCATGTGAATCTACAATTATCTCAAAAATCAAAGTTTGATTAAAAAATAAAGCTGGGGTGCCTGGGTGGCTCAGTTGGTTAAGCGCCTGACTCTAGGTTTCAGCTCAGGTTGTGATCTCAGGGTCATAAGATTGAGCCCTGAGTTGGGCTCTGTGCTCAGTGCCGAGTCTGCTTGAGATTCTTTTTCTCCCTCTGCCCCTTCCCCCACTTGCATGCACTCTCTCTCAAATATATAAAATCTTAAAAAAAAATAAAGCTGTTAAGCATAAAATATACTGAACAGTTATCTATAAAGTAAAAGTCTAAAGATACTGTCCCTAAGACAGTCCAAGTTTTTTGGACAAAGACAATGATAAAAAAATCAATTGCCTGAAGGTACAAGAGAGAGTGACCAAAAGCAATCAGGAACTTCGGAGTTGGAGGAAGGGACTAGCTCTGTGGGGTCTCCCATTTCTGTAACTTTTACCTGAGGGAAGTCCCTACTTGGCACCAGATAGGCAGGCTAAAACTCCAATAGGAACCTGCAGTGTTACTGGCTTGAAGAACCAGAGTCTGAAGTGGCCACAGCAGCTGGAAATGGACTGAGAATCTCAGAAGAGAGACATAAAGGGAGAATCTCAAAATCTGCACATAAATTCTGCCCAAATCTTTGATTCCTAAACTACACATGTGTGAGACAGATCCAAGAAGTTTATCCATGACTAAAAGAACTAAACAGATTTCAGCTGCTGCTAACTGCAGGAGAGTTTGAGTTTGGAGTTTGAAGCAGGCGTAGTTAACTTTCTGTTAAACAATCAAAACTCTTTGGAAGAATAGAATCCAGAGTTTCTACAATGATTATTAATAATGTCTTGAGTAAAATCCAAAATCACTGGATATAGGGAATAAAAGAAAACATGACTCAGGCATTCAGTGTAGACTAACTTCAAGATTCCCCAGATGTTGAAGTTGGCAAACAAAGATTGCAAAACTGCTGTTATAACTATGCTCAGGGACATAAAGGAAAATATCTTGTAATTGATAAATGAGATATCAGCAGAAAAATCAAAAGTATTTTTTTAAAGATTTTATTTATTTGAGAGAAAGAGAGCATGAGAGGGGAGAGGGTCAGAGGGAGAAGCAGACTCCCTGCCGAGCAGGGAGCCCGATGCGGGACTCGATACCGGGACTCCAGGATCATGACTTGAGCCGAAGGCAGTCGCTTAACCAACTGAGCCACCCAGGTGCCCAAATCAAAAGTGTTTTATTTTTTATTTTTTTTTTTAAGATTTTATTTATTTATTTGAGAGAGAGAATGAGAGACAGCATGAGAGGGAGGAGGGTGAGAAGGAGAAGCAGACTCTCTGCTGAGCAGGGAGCCCGATGTGGGACTCGATCCCGGGACTCCAGGATCATGACCTGAGCCGAAGGCAGTTGCTTAACCAACTGAGCCACCCAGGCGCCCTCAAAAGTGTTTTAAAAAAGAACCCAGAGGCGCCTGGGTGGCTCAGTCAGTTAAGTGGCTGCCTTCGGTCAGGTCATGATCCCAGGGTCCTGGGATCAAGCCCCACGTCGGGCTCCCTGCTCAGTGGGGAGTCTGCTTCTCCCTCTCCCTCTGCCTGCCTCTCTGCCTACTTGTGCTTTCTCTCCGTCTCTCTGTCAAATAAAATCTTTAAAAAAGAACCCAAATGGAAATTCTGCAGCTCGAAAATAACCTAAATAAAATGATGGATGGACTTAACAGAAAATTGGAGATTATGTAAGAATAAGTGAACATGAAGATAGATGATTAGGAATTATTTGGTCTGAAGAATAGGGAAGAAAAAAGATTGGAGAGAAAGGAAGAGAATAGAACAGGGACTTAGTGACATGGGACAATATAAAAATTTGTAATATATGAGTAATTGGTGTCTTAAAAGGAAAGCAGAGAATGGGACATAAAAATATTTGAAGGAATAATAGCTAAAAATTTCCCAAACTTATAGATTCAAGAAACTCAATGAATCCCAATAGGATAAATACAAAGAAAGCCACATCTCTGATATTCTTAGTAAATTTTCTGAAGACCAAAGATGAAGAGAAAAACTTTAAAAGAAGTTTTTAAAAATACATTGTATACAGGGGAATACAATACAAATGACCACTGGCTTCTTATCAAAAGTATTTAAGTATTCCAAAATCTGTGTTTTAGTGTAATTCAACTTTAGCATACTACCAGTCAGTAGGACACATGTTCATGATACTAGGCCCTTAACAGAATTATTGGAAATTTTTTGTTTAGTTCCATTGTTCAAAAGAGATCAAAGAACCAGCTACTACATACTGGACTGATGAAAACTTACGTAAGAAAATAAAATTGTGCTTTCACTATATAAATATTAACACGCAAGTTGTCCTACCAACCCCTGAAGAGCTAGAGTAGAAAGGACTGGTAGCAGAGTTTAGAAACAGGATCGCTGATTAAATTGGATTATCATCCTGACAGCCTCTTCTAATCTCTAGTCAATGCTATCTCCCTAGGGGTTTATTTTCTTTCTATTCTTTGGATAACAGAAGTGTTACTTTTCAGGTGATATTGACCTGATCCAGGACTAGAATCAGATGACTTAAAAGAAAATTTTATTACTCTCCTCAGGATCAAGATCAATGTAGGAAAAAAGAAAAGCA